CCCCCCAACCCCTCTATCAAAGCTAACTCTTTCTCTTTCTCACCCTCCCCCTTTGCCATTTGCCACCCACCATCCGAGCCCGGGTTAGATTCGTTCGGGCGACTGAAAAGAAATTGTGTTGGGAAATTGTATCCGCGAGAAACCCGGCCGATAATGTGGAATTCTTGCCTTCAACAGCCGCCACAGACTTTGTCGCCGCGATAGTCCGACAGATTCCAGAGAATCGACCGTATCGTTAATTTGGATTTTCCAAACCTTATCTCATGGAGAAGGAGACGCTTTGTTCATTTGCCATAAGGATATTTTCTATCTTTTAACTCAGCGTTCAACACGCAGAGCAATCGTTACGAAATATCGTTGGAAATAACGAGAGAGAAGGCTAATTTTGCGTCTTCGCTTAATTCTTAAAGCCTCAAATCCCCGAGTAGTTCAGTTTTCGTGAAAGAAATCGAGAAATACGTAGAACGCTTCTTGGAAACTTTTTGCTCGAGACAAGAACGAAAACCAAAGGGCTAACTGCGTGAAAGTAAAACCAGTACCGCTGTGCAAAATTATATTTCGTCCGTGTCCTTAATTAAAAAGTGTTCAAAGTTCGCGAAAGCGCTTAACAGACGATTTTTCGCGGGGAGAGCCGAAGGAATCTTTGAGTAAATGATGGACCATCGATCGGCAGGCTTGACTTCGCGTTCCACCGATTTCTCATCGAACAAAGAACGAGGAAGAAAGAGAAGTCGGAGAAAGTGTCGGAGGGCACGTCAAAGTCAGACGTCAATTGTTCGCGAAGGAAAGCACCAATGCCCGATTAAGTCCGCAAGATCACCCACCCTTCCCGTCACTTTCGGATCCTGCGCCCTTCCCTCCATCCTTTCCTCCCCCGATCGTCACGCTCTTTTCATTCAACCTACGACGTAACGAAGGTAATTATGGGACGCGTTTGGGCAATCGTCGACGAAACGACAATCTGATATCACGCACAAATATAAGCTGGCAAAGGTACACGACACTGTGCACACCTTTTATGAATATATTACGTGTACATCTGCCTATAAAACGTCGTAGATGTATCGAACAATTGCTTTACATTACGTCCAGAGACTCAACACGATGGACTCGTCAAATTTTTCCCGTGTGGTCTTCGATTAATTAGAATTCCAAGAGAAACTGACCTATTTTCTCTGACTATTATGGTCTTTATCCTATCGTATAATGCAAATGAAGTAACAGATTCACAACTAAAAGATAAAAGCGAAAGAATTCAACGTGTACAAAACATCAGCAGGTGTCTCGATACTTACTACATTGTAGCGCTCGTTATTCGAACAGACAAAAGTAACGTTCAATTCGCTGAAAGAGTAAGAAAAAGTTTGCAGAATCGCGCGTAAAAGTCTGCGTGACGCGAGTAACGAAGGAATACTGAAAGAACGTTAGAAAAACGAAAGAGGGGGAAGACGGGAACGAAGAAAAAGAGCAACGCTGCGGGCCCTCTTCTTCGCAGCAAGAAACGTAAGAAGAGAAAAGAGCGAACGTATTACGTATAAGCAGGCATAGGCTCTGGATGAGCCACACGCGGACGCAACGGCATACAAAACTCGCTCAATACGTCATTCAACCGAAGAATACGGTTCGTTCTCGCCATTTTGCTCCCAGAATGAGAGTTTCAAAGGGAATTAAGGATTCAAAGGCATCTTTTGCGCGGCGCGCACAAAACGGCCAGCCACGGTCTTCTTTCTCTCTCGTCTCTTTCTCCGTCTATCGTGCTGCTCCTCGCGATTCTCTTACTCCGCTCGCCTATCTTTATCTCGTTCCTCGCTAGGCTGTCTCTGTATTTACACACGTTTCTCTCCTTCTCGCTCTTTTTCTCTCTCGCGGGAGAAGCATGGAACGCGCTCTCAAGACGAGGCGATTCGAGGCGGCCGTTGGTTGCGTGTACGCGCCCACACAGCAAAAGAACTGAAATCCGTACAAATCGTTGTACAATGCTCGGAAGAGCGTTGGTTAACGCGCGCGGCGCGCCGTCCGTTTCTCTATTTCGCCTAACATCAGCGAGTGGCCGACAAGCCAGACGCCGATGAAGAAATCCGCGTGAATGGCTCAGACGAACAAGAGGCTGACCATGTTTCGACGAATATTCAAACCGTTCGCCGTTGAAACGGCCGAAATCGCGCAACTAAGACGCGGCCAGGAAAGAAGAATATCGCGTTGCTCGCCGAGAGATCGGGCAACTGGGCCGAGCGTAACGCGCGCGAATTCCGAGTGAAAAGGGAACCTTGAGGCGGATTCGTTTCACGATCCTTCTTCCCTCGAATCACCGGTAAAGTATTCGAATCAGACTTCCTCGGATAATCCTACAAATATTTTAGAAGCATATTCTAACGTTGGAACGCAATTGTCGAATTTAGAATTCGTAGAAATCGTAGAACAGAAGGAAAGAATCAATAGGGGGCGAGATATAAATCCAGAGCCTTTATATTTGTCACGAGGTTCGAGATTCTTCCGCGTTGACGCGAAAAAAAAGTCTCCCTTTAGGGTACAGAATCCACTATACTCGGGTCAATCATCTCGTCCTACTGAACTCGGTCCAGCAGTCTGGTCCACGCGCGCACACCCTCGTGAAAGATCCCATTCTTTACGATCTTCGTTACGTTCCTTTTTTTTCCGCCTTGCCGCGGAACAAATTCGTGCCACGATTTCTATTTACAATAGAGAAGCAGGGAAGGAAGGGGACATCGGCGACTCGTCCCCCGATTGGTTGATTAACATAAAAATGTCCGTGCTCGTAAAGGCCACCGTATACATATATTACGAACTTTATATATATACATATCGCGAGGGAGGGATTATAGTTTCTGATTGTTATTCATATTCGGCCGGCAGCCACGCGGCCGAGCATCGATACGCGCTTCTGTGTTGGGTCAATATAACGTCAGCGAGAGGAGGGTTGTACGCGTGTGGGGTGGTGGTTTGGACTGGGGTACTTCCTTCTCAATGACACTCTTTTTTTTTCTCTTCAACGTTAATGCAACGAACCGTGGCGCACGGGTTTAAACGATTACTCACCCGCGGCTCTGTCTGGAATGAAAAGGGCGAAAGTGCCACTTACCGCGCCACGGGCCTCCGAGACTCCAGCACCTGGAACAGAAATCACGTCCTAATGAGACCAGCGGAGTTAAGCAGCAAAGTTGTAGAAATTGCCGGGAATTTCGAGCGAGCCGAGTGGAGGCCTGCTTCGGCCTTTTAAAGCGCGTTTCGCGCCAAATCAGCAGCGCTAAGTTTCACGATCAAAGTTCGTTTCAACGCGTCAGATAAAATCGGGCCTTGATTAAAGGATTTTTCATGTTTCGTAGTCAGTCGATCGTAGCCAATTACGAAACAAACGCGAAAATCGCGACAGTTGGCCGCGCAGAACGTAGCATCTGAGACCTTACGAAGACTATCTTTATTTTAACTTTAAATTTGAAAAACAGCAATTGTAACATCGTCGCTTTTCTGTACTTTTTAATTCGTGGCTCGCCTAAGACTCACGAAGAGAATCATATGATTCATAAGTACGTTTTGGTTGATTTTCTACTTGAGTTGTTACTTTACGGCTATAAAGGTATATTTTAATATACCTGCATAGTCATAAAGAAATTGTTAAATACTTTTGCGAGATACTATACTTTTACTACGTTAACATTTACGTATGTACATTAGGTTTTGAGATTAACTCGCTTTGAACTATAGTACAACTCGAGCAACGAATTAAGAGAAAAGATAGTAAGCAAAACGCGGAAGCTTCCGGAGCTTCCGTCCTCCGACTGAACGAAGGCAAAGCTTAATCGCGGGTCTGGGTTGGTACGCAACCGCGTCCGGATCCACTTTCCAATAACTGGGAAGTATCGGTGAATGCGGCAGTAAGAGTTCAAGGCTCGGCCTGGCGCGTTCTATCAGTGGGGACGTTGCGAGGCACAAAGGACGAGCGTTTAGCAGCGGCATGCGATTTCGATCCGCGGAAGAGGAACGAGAAATCAGAAGAATAAAGGGGCGAGTACCCCGCAAAGTCACTCGACCTCCATCAGCCATCCTTTGCCCCCTCGCGGCGACGACGATCTATAGCCTCTACCTACATTATATTTCTTTCGTATTTGCCTCTTCTTTCCTTCTTTCTCTCTCGGTCTCCTCTGTCCGTGGCCAAACACACAAACGGCCGCACCTACACGTACACACAAGCTGAGCATTGCCGCGGTCTTATCGGCAGTTATCGGGCCGTGATGTCACACAATGGGGCAGACAATGCTTGGTACAATACACCCCCTGCTTCTAAACCATTCAACCCTCGCCAGCCACCTCCTAGCTCATCCTTCTTCTCCAGTACCAACTCCCTTCCGCGGATCCACCACTCCTATCCTCTCTCGGAATCAGCCCAATCCCAGCAACTTAATAAACGTAATAGCTGACTGCGTCACTTCGCGATCCCAATGAGATGTCCATGAGATGGAAATATATTGCAACATATTAGGATGACCTGGCACCGTGATCATAGTATTATATTTGAGCGCATATGCGTTGGGAGTTTGTCTTCGATAAAATATCGCGGACACTTGGTTGGCCCGATTCTGCGATACGAAAGGAAACGGATTCCGATCTACGGGAACAATGTCTCGTTGAGAAATCTATCAAGCGAGAAATATATGATTCTTAATTGTATAGCACGAGGTAAGATGGAAAATTGAGGTCAAATCGATTCCAAATTTCATACTAAAATGTAAAAATGAGATCGGTCGTCCGATGAAAGACCGTGAACTTGTTTATTATTCGCAAACACGATATCGCCGATAACATCGTTGAAGAGGATGAAACATCTTGGAAAACAAGCGAAAAAGGTAGTAGAACAGGGGAAAAGAAGGGATCGAGGACGAAGGGTGAATCTGTGCACGCATCATCGGATCGACACCACGCCCCCGTACGCGCTTCCAGTTGATCCACCCCTACGATCGCGCAATATGCTACCCCGCGTGTGATCACCCTAAAGCACGTACACAAGTCGATACATGAGTCATTGAAAAATGCGGTTAGCCATCCATTATTTCGACAAATTTTCGCTTTACGTGTATTATACTTATTGACCGCATGGCAGAAGGGGGCATAAACAGTATCGCCGGTGAATTGGAAATGTTCGTGCGGTCAAAAAGATCGCGTTTCATTGCTCGTAAACTATCAACCGAATTGTTTTTTGTGTAAGCCGAACCAAAAAAACACGCGCATGTGGAATAAAAGAGCTACATGATTTATCGACAACAATTACAGACTTTGAATGCCGGTCCGTTTAAAGTTGTCAGGCGGTGAGAGTATTTTTTTTTTTTATTTATTTATTTTTTATTCCTTTTCTATCGCTTTAGATATATATATATACATATGTATGTATGTATATAGTATGCATATGTATATATATATATATATACATAGTCAGCTTTGAAAAATATAAATCGAAACGTACCATGACCATGAGGCTGACTGATTAAATAAAACTGCGAAACAGTATACAGTACAGGAATAAATCAAAACGGGGGTGGAGAATAGGAAGGAATCCCTGTCGGTAAATTTTATCGCACGGCAATAAAGCACGTCACGAAACACAATTACATCGACTGCTGACATTTCCAAGCTACATCTTCCAGCGCGGCTCCGCGCGAGCCACGGCTGCGACCGTTGATACGTATCTTCGAAATGGCATCGGAGAAACGTTAATTAAGCGAGCAGATGCGCCGAGGAAATAGTAAATCATACGACCACCCCGTGCGAACACAACGCTCGCCGCGTCGACCGCCTTATCTTCGCCGGGTTATCGAGATAATGATAAATCGCTCGTTCGAATTGGTCCCTTCCAAGGGCGCGCTTTAACCATCCTGGTGAAGGGTTGACGGCTGTATAATGCCAGGATCGTAAAGTCATCCGTTTTGGGGGACGTTCTAACGATACTTTCAATGTCTTCATCATTCTCCAATACGCTCCCAATATGTATGTATAGAAACGAGAAGACAAGTATGATGGCACCAGGGGTAAGAGAGCTATTTCTCTAGATTCACTCATCTTTTGTATAGTAATTTATCGACTATTGATAGAGGGACGTTGATCTTTTAGTCGTCGTTCAACAAATGGTACTTTCTTATGACTAGGAAATTTCTTAAGTTTAAAAGTACAATGGAAGGTGTGTAGTTTTACATCTCTATGATTTTTATAAATTTCCCCGTGAATATTAAAAGTTGTTTTATTTGTTGAAACGAGGGTAACGTTCACGGGCGAACATTCGAAAATCGCAACTGGACTGAATAGAAGGAACAGCCAGTTATCAGCCACGTGTTGTCTGTATCTATTATACAGAGTTGTCTATTGTACAGAATATAATGGATAAATGATTATGCAAAAAGAAGAGAGATACCATAACGATACTTTATAGTCGAAGTACCTAATCCATTACGATCAATCAACTCTGAATTCCTATCCACTTGCCCACTTTCCAGTTCTACACTTTATAGACAAAACGGCACTCTTCGATTTCAGACTGTCGCATTAGGTGGTAACAGAGCCAACAGGCGAACAAACTCTTTGATAACCCTAGAGCGACTGGTCTGAAAATAATAATATCGCGACGCAGTACATTAACGAGTAATTAACTGCTTCGGTCGATTCGGTAGACAATCCGGAAGACGGCAGTAAAACAAGGTTAGCTCGCGGGGTTGAAGCGAGCACGGGGTGGTGGTGGTAAAAGCGGTGGAAGTGGTGGCATCGGAACCGCCCCGGCTTTGCAACCCCGGCGAATGGAGTGACAATGCTGCCACGGGATTCACAGTTCTCTACCACCCCTTTTGTCTTTCCCCTCTTTCCTCTCTATCTCTCGCGCGAGCTGCCGTCCCCTTTCATCCCATTTGCAACTTTCCGGCTTTCCAACCGCCCGCGCCTTTCGATCCTCCACCACCCACGCAGCCCCTTTATCCTGTCTTCATACGCCGCTACAATCTCGCCGCACGCGCACCTTAAGGCAAACGCCTCCTTTCGAAACGATTAACTTCGCCACGTGGAGAAAAAGAGGGAACAGATGCAACACCGATTACACGTTTTGTCCGATTTTTGTGCAAATGCGTACACATGTCACAACGGACGATTCTAAGACGAATTAAGATCAAAATGCAAGAATCAATGAGGATGTTCCAACGAAGATGTTATAACGAACGCGAAAAGATATCGTGGATTGATTTGCGATCCTGTCGATTTTCTTATAGGATCTTCGTTACCGCGAAAAAGATTAAAGAGGAGATTTTATTCGTTTCCTTTTTGAGAGAATTAAAGCGTTTTGTTTATGATTAGAACAATTATATTGCAACTATTAGTCACCGTCTTTATTATCGCATTAGATGTATAACATGGTCATTTCGTAAAATTGAAACAACTATTGATATAATTTTAATTATTAATTCACGATTAATTTATAGTACGCTTTAGTAAACCTTGTACGATTACTATAAACCGATTAAAGTATTTGAAATCTCACGAGTGGCAATGTATGTAACGAATGAAATGATAGATATGAATCAAAATAGACGTACAATGAAACACGTATATCTAGAAGATAATAGCAACTTTAATATCATTAAGTATTTTATTACTTGCGATCGACAGTGTATTCCTCTAACATTTATTGGAAATCCTATTTTTAGAAGACAAAACGTTAACCTCGCAGAGAAACGACGAAGAGTGAAAGGAATATTGTTTACTCGAATGACAGACAGGGAGAGACAGGGAGAGACAGGGAGAGACGGGGAAGCCCGCGTGCCAGTTGAGTATAAAGACACGCAATCGAGTAGGAAAAAGGGTGGAGGGATGCAAGCTGAAACGTATCGAAAGGATCCACCACCCCTATTTCACAGAAACGACGTTCGGCATCCCCCCTTCTCTTGTCATCCTTGTCGTTTGGCCGTTCCACTCTTGGAGCCTCTGCATCTTCGTCTCTCGCTCATCCTCTGTCTATCTCATCCCCTCGCCTAGCCACCCTCGCGCTCTTTTCTCGTATCAGATCGAGTCCCTCTATTTCGCGTCCTCTATTATTTCTTTTATCAATCTGCGCGCTTTCAGGACGCTTTGAGGCCCGCTGA